ATTAAAAAGCAGAGACAAAAAAAAAAAAAGCAGAGACATCACTTTGCCAACAAAGGTCCATATAGTCAAAGCTATGGTTTTTTCAGTGGTCATGTATGAGTGTGAGAGTTTGACAATAAAGAAGGCTGAATGCTGAAAAATTGATGCCTTTGAATTGTGGTGCTGGGGAAGACTCTTGAGAGTCCTTTGGATTGCAAAAAGATCAAACCAATCAATCCTAAAGGAAATCAACCCTGAGTGTGCATTGGAAGGAGTGATGATGAAGCTGAATCTCCAATACTTTGGCCACCTGATACGAAGAGCTAACTTGTTGGAAAAGACCCTAATGCTGGGAAAGACTGAGGGCAAGAAGAGAAGGGGACGGCAGAGGATGAGATGCTTAGATAGCATCACCAACTTAATAGACATGAATTTGAGCAAACTCTGGGAGATAGTGTAGGACAGGGGAGCCTGACATGCTGCAGTCCACGGGCTCTCAAAGAGTCAGAGAGGACTTAGTGACTGAACAACAAAACAAATTTCCTGCCACTCTAGTCCTCTGTCACTAATAGCTTATGTTAAATGTTCCTGTTCAAAATACTGTGTGCTTTCTGTCTCTGTGTTGGACCCTGACTAATAAATATAGTACCTTTCTTTCTCTAGTGTTCTAGAAATTGAGCTGTTATTCTGTTACAACTTATATCACCTTAGTAGTTTGAAGTGTTTTATAGAATTTAAGTTGAAAAATTACCGTAACAACATTTCTCTGACTGCCTATTTGTTGTTGGCACACTGGGCAAAATCTCAACCACATTCTATAATTCAGCCAGGACTATAGAGTTTTAGTTTTGTTCCTAAGCAGGAATTTTGATACAGTCATCAAATGTCAAAGCATTTTAGTAATTACTACCTTTAACTTCATTCTCAGATTCATCCCAGCTGTCTTCTTATCTTGTTTCTGACTGCATTATATTACTCACTCAGAATGAGGTTCTAGGTTGTTGGAAAGGAAGTCACAGAAAGACCA